GTAAACTCTCAGATAATGGCAGCATGGTAGGGTCACTGGGGTTCTATTAGCTCAATTAATGAGGAGTAAGATAAGGCTAACACCTAGCTCTTCAAACGGCTAAAAAATAGAGCTGATAGTAATGGAGTTATTAACCTTCGCCAGCCATTGAATTTTGCTGCTGATTCAAACTCCATTTCCTAGTTCAGGCCTCCATTAATAGGCTGTTTATTATCCCTAATCCACATTGGGATCAGCTGCAGAAATATGAAAGACCCATGTAAAGACCAAATAGTTAAAAAAAAAACCAAAATTTTCCATTCTGATTTTTCCCTTTTCAACATATTCACAGATTCTACCTTAGAAATGAGGAACTTCATTATCCTAAACTCTTTGAGTACAGGTTCTCGGAAGTGTGATGAAAAAGAAGCTTTAAATATGTTATGTAAAAAGATGACATCATCGGGGATACCGTCACATCGTTTTGAAGACCAAATAAAACACTGCTGGAAAACTTGCACTGGAGAAGCTACTGCTGTTTATTTTCCCTACTGGGAAAGAAAAAACTTTAATATTGGAAAAATGGGTATTTGAAATATGTTATATATGTATTGTTAGGTCAATCTTCAAGTTCATCCCTCCCCTGCCCAGCTTTGTCTGTCCACTTGTTGTGTTGTTTGTAGATACTACTGTAAGACAATTAATCAATACTGAAATGTAAAACAACCGACCCTGGATTCAGATCAGATGGAAAAAACAAAGGAAATGAAGGAACAGAGGAACTGGGAATCCCAGGACGCCCTTAGCAGCAGAGCCCACTGGCACAGACGGAAAGGCTTGCTTTATCAGCTTCAGGAGAACTCTAACACAAACCTGGCTACAAGTTTAACTACAGAGATCTTTAATTCAAGGGTCTTTAGGCTCCTTGCTGAGTTTGTACACGCTCAACTGAGATTTATGACACTTTGTCATTTTTCACTGTATTTTCAATGAAAGACACACTGTATAGTTACCATAGTTTACACACACAAGACATTCTTCCAAAATCTATCACAGTGACTTCTAATAGAATATCAGCAATATGAGTAACGGAGCTAAGATAAAAATAAAAAAAATGGTTATGGCAATATATATACATCTAGTATACAGTGCTACCCTCAAAACTGAATGCAGTTCTGGTTGTCCCACCTTAGAAAAGAAACAGCTAGAATAACTTAGAGAAGGTAGAGAACAGGGGGGCAGGATGGTCGGAAGAGTGAAAGGATTTTTGGGAAAGGACAGGATAACCAGACTGAGGCTCTTTGCCTAGGAAAGAGATGACTGAACGGGCATATATAAGAGGCTTATAAAATCCGGAGTGTTGGGAGAGCATGAACAGGGAATGCTTATAACTGTGTTTCAATAGAAGAAAGGAACCGGGGAAAACCACTGTGAAGTATTTTCATATGACACCCAGTGAAAAAGTAAAACTCCTTTCCGTACAACTTGGTGGAAGCCAAAAGTACAGTGTGTTGAAAAAGAGACTATAAAGTCAAGGAAAATGGGCTATTAGACAGTTGTCCAGATGACCCTCTGGCTCAGGGAATCCTTAAACTGCTGATTGCCTGAAGCTGGCCTGGAACCAGCAGACAGCTGGTCATGAACCAGCTGAAGCTAATGACAAGAGATAGATAACAGATGACACTGTTGCTGCTGAATCTTATTTGAACTGTAAGTTTGGGAGAGAGCAGAAGGGGATAAGAAAGATTTTGGTAGATATTAAATAGAGTTTTCTGTGTATTAGAACTATCCATGACTACACTATATATTTCCTATTGTTGCTCAAGCATTAACAGTAAAAAAAGTTAAAATACCTATTTACACTCACTTGGATGAGGAACTGAATTCAGTCCTTTGCGCTAGTAGTTCTGAGCTTCAGATACCAACCTGTAATTGTATTTGGATTCCCGCTTACCGTAGGCACTAAGAGGTTAATGGTGTTCTTTTACTAGATAGCTGAGAGACCACTAATAGATTCAGCTTCTTATTTGCCCTAAAGGCTGCCACAGTTCAATGCGATTAGGATCCTGTCCACTTAAGCAGTAACTGCTTCACAGGGAGGAACGCAGAAAGCAATGCCTGTCTTCTCTGAGGACAGAAAGAGCAGTTCTTTGGTAGACAGGTTTTGTCTGATACGGGCAGGTTTTCCTGTACCAGTCTGTAAGCAAGCCTGGGCTCTACTGCAAATTCTAATTTAAAGAAAACCCTGTACCTTACTTTTTCAGGGGAAAATGAATTATTTTCCTTTTTGTTCCAGGGCAGTTCTTTGGATGCAGTGGCTGATGCTGTATGAGTTTTTTTTATTATTACATTTTAACAAACTTTATAGCCCATTTTGTTTGTTTTCAAATAACTTTATTTTCCTTCTTTTCTACCATCAATTACTAGGTTTGTTTTTCTTTCCGTAAGATGGAGGAGTCAGGAGACTGATCCTGCTCAATGTGGTATAATTTAGTATTATGTGTACTAGCTTTATGAGGTGGGAGTCAGATAAAACATAGTATTTGAACACTAACCATTTATTAGCTCTAAGGAATAGATTTATGACTTGACAAGCAGACAATAACTCTGTGTTCTGATCAACCAAAGAGGTCTACTTTGAGTTCAAAACACAGAGTAACATACTCTTTCACAAATAATTTTGTTTACTGATGTGACTAGATTTTAATAATAAACTTGATATATATGTAAATTTATTTTAATCTAATTTCATCAACAGAGCCCTCCTAAAAATGAGACTTTGTAGATTGTTCTGTGTCTGATTTATAGATTTCTGCATCCTATTCCCAGATTGATTTCAAGGCTATAATTCTATCAGGTTTTTCTCCTGATGTCAGAAACACCACCTCTGCAGATAGTGTTTTATAACTAGCATCACAACTGAAACTGAATTACTGCCCTGCTATCCTATGCTGCAATATGTCCTTTTGTTTATAATCACCCTCTCTCCCTTATATACCTACTACAGTTTCATGGAAAGTATCAGCTCCAAAATCAATCAGGTAGCATGATGTCTATTTTCGTCCCTTACTTCAACCCCCGTATAAAATAGTAGGGGCCAAATTCTTAACTCAGATACGAATGTGCAGAGCTCTTTAAAGAAAATGGAAGCTGAGCAAATGGATCAGTGCCAAATTTCCACACATACAATTTTATAATGAGTTGTTGTTCCTCACTTGATGAGGTCTCCATCCTGGAAAGGAGCACATGGCACACACACGAGTATTCACCCCGATCTCAGGTACTCACATACATGCGTAGGGACTCAGGACCCACCTTCTAAATGCACATGAAGAATAATCCATGGGAAATGTTATTTAACTGAATCTAGCATAAGCTTCAAGATTCTTTCTCCCTTTTTTCATGAAATGGATTCCTGTTTAAGATGCATTTTGTCTTACTGTCAATAAATAAAGCTGCTGCTGTTTTCACATACTTTCATTTTTAAAGCTTGATGGCGTGGCTGTTAGCTCCCTCGCTTTTAACTCTCCTCTTTTCTCTCTTTGCTGGTTTTGGCTGGGATAGAGTTAATTTTCTTCATAGTAGCTGGTATGGGCCTATGTTTTGGATTTGTGCTGGAAACGGTGTTGACAACCCAGGGATGGTTCCTTACCGCTGAGCAGCGCTTGCACAGAGTCCAGGCCTCTTCTGCCTCTCACCCCCCCAGCAGCGAGCAGGCTGGGGGCACAAGGAGCTGGGAGGGGACACGGCCGGGACAGCTGACCCCAGCTGCCCAAAGGGACATCCCACACCGTATGGCGTCATGCTCAGCGCATAAAGCTGGGGGAAAAGAAGGAATGGGGGGACGTTCAGAGCGATGGCGTTTGTCCTCCCAAGTCACCATTACACGTGATGGCGCCCTGCTTTCCTGGGGATGGCTGAGCACCTGCCCGCAATGGGAAGGAGGGAATGAATTCCTTGGTTTGCTTTGCTGGCGTGCGTGGCTTTTGCTTTACATATTAAACTGTCTTTATCTCAACCCACAAGCTTTCTCACTTTTACCCTTCCAATTCTCTCCCCCATCCCACCGGGGGGGAGTGAGCAAGCGAGCTTGACCCAAAGGGAAAATTACCTCTGCCCCAGCCAAAACGAGCACCTCTCTCCAACTCAATCTTACCCTTTTACATCTTTCCACTATACGCTGTACGGGGAGCGGGGAGGGGATCAAGGGCAGCCACAGAGAAGACACAGGAAGAGTAACTTTGCCAACTTAAACACTTCTGTGGGTAATATACCTTTTCCACTACCAGTTTTTAGATAAGAATAAGCTTCCTGGAAGTATAAAGACTACAAATTTCTGATGTATGCCTTTGGAGTGGCCACTGTGTCAGCCAGCGGTATGGACTGAACCAGGAACCCCTGGAGGGGAACGGAGAAGCCTCTCAGCTTTGATGAGTACATCAGCATTTCAAATTCACACCACCCTTGGACCAGCTGTAAAGAGTAACTCCATTTTATTTGCCTGGCAGTCATAACAGTTCTCTTTTGATGCTCATTTCTCTTATATTACATTTCTGAACACTTCATTATAGCTCAAATAAAACATAATTCTCATGTTGTTTTTAATTATTTCACAAAACCCAAAAGTCTCATAATGAGCTCCTCGCAATACTAATATAGTTCCATGATATTACGCCACTGCTAAAGAAAGAAGATGTAGATCCCCCCTTCTGCTGCAAATAAAATACACCTTCTGATATAATCCAAACTTTAATCCATTTCTTATGGTTTGCCTTTAGAGGCAACTCAAACAAATAACCAGAAGAACAAACCTTTTCTCTCTCCCACAGTTTGGCCATCTGGAGGATTTGTAAGGCCAATGCTCTATTTCCTACTCTCCAGGAGCAAGACCCCTTTTCTAGCTAAGGAAAGAATAAATAAATAAGATGCAACAGCCTATACAATGTCAATAAAGACTTGTATCTTTCCATAAACAAATTTTTCACCTATGTAATGTCGTGATTGCTAAATGTATATCTTACCTGTTTGGACTAAAATGCGATTTTTGCAGCTGTTCTCCCTGCTCTATGTCTCTTGGGAAGCCATAAAGCACCCACCCATTGGTCATGCAGTCCAGTGCGTTCAGGCGTTCCGCCAGGATCTTCGTAACAAGGTTGTCTGGGACTGCAAAGGATTAAAAAGATGACATTTGTTTTGTATGCTGAGTCTGCAATTAAGGAGGATACAAACTACTTTTTCTGGTTAGACTGCTACAGGAACTAAAACGCAGGGAGTTATTCCTGTTTATGATCGACAGATTTTGGAGAGAGGAGTTACTGTTGACTTTGCATATTTACTGTGCTATCGTGGAACCCCCAGACTCATAAGGAACTGTAGGACTAAAACAAAGTATTTGGTAAGAACTGATACCTACATAATTTTGCAATGTACTTTTTCTCTCAGCCATACTGGGCTGATGTCACAATGAAGCGCGTGACATAATCTTATCAAAATGCAAAAATAATTACCTGAGTTGTGTAAAAGAAATCCTAAAACAGGAAAGAAATTTCTGTAGCTTTCTGCATTTAACTTAGCAGATGATAATGGTTCTGCCACAGCAGGCTAGATGCGGTATTTCTCCAATTTGCCCAAAGGCTTGAAGCTTTTATAACTGAAAATAAATTTCCAAAATGTATTTCAACCACTGTAATTACTGCATTGACGACTCCCTAATTTTAGAGATAAAAGTTCTCTTTCCTCTATTATTATTTTTCTTTAGGGCAAGGGAGAACATCAGCAAGATGCTGGCTGGGATTACAATTACTATGCAGCTTTTAAAATTCTATTTAATGGGACACAGTGGTAAGGAGGTATCCTGCATATTTTCACTACAGCCTTCATAAAGTAAAACATTTCAATTGAGATACTTAAACTTATGTACCTTGTAATTTTTTTTCTTTTTACAGAAAAATGAGATGATTAGGTTCAACAAGAGTGACTATAAATTTTGCAAGGACTCTTGCAATGTGTTGGGTTTGGTGTCAAATAACCCCAAAGAAAGGTCAGCAAAATCACCTCAAGCTACTGCCCCAAAAAGCAGCCAAAACAATTGTCACGAAGCAATGAGAGTCCCTTCTCTTTATTTGTACAGTATGTCTAATACACTGTTGCCTCTACTGGAAACAAGCAATAAAAAAACGCTACATAAATCCACATCATGGAATGCTGATGTTTTGATACTCACCCTGCCATTGCATCTGCATACAAAAATACAACAACAAGTGCTTGTAGGAGAGCATATGCGTCAGATTTCTAACAATGCAATTCGCTTTAGGACTAGCTGACAGGAATGCGCCTGTATTTTAGTAGAGTATATTATTATCAATGCACATTTATACCCTGGGTACAAGCAGGTTTTAAACCGCAATAATAGAATCCGTTCGCTTCCTGAAATTTAACATTTCCTACAGACTTACACCTCGACCATGAAATTCTCCTTTAAATAATCAAATTACTGAGTTTACAGAATTGCACTCAGGATTCAATGTACCAGCAAAAAGGGAGGAAAACCGCAGGGAATTAATTAGAGAACAGATTAGTGTATTAATTGAGGATACCGACTTCACATTATAAAAAAAAACAAGTTAAGGAGAGTAATATCTGCTAACAGAAAAAAGGAGTGGAATAAAACCAGACACTTGACAGAGAGCAAAATGACAATGCAAAATGAGGCATTCTGTTAAAAATGGGATTCATAAAATTAACTATACAATAGTGCAGCAGCAGGCAGAAATGTTATTAGGCAGATGATACTTATCGCTCCAAGACCCGAGCTGCAGGCAGGTATAGAGGGGATAACAGGAGAATTTCAGCACTCTTCGCAGGGCACTTCTCCCTGCCCTCCAGGTTACAAGAACTAATACAAACCTGAGACATCCCGGTAGGAAGAAAGAAAAAAAACATCCCACCTTCTCTTTCCCCAAAATACATTCCATGCAAAGACCAGTGGAATTTTCCTGGTAGTCCTGAATTTCTGGCTGCAGCATTAAACTTTCTGTCTTGATGCATGTTATTTTATCATGATTCCTACTGGAATCATTAACATGGATTTACAAAGATGCCAAATGACGTGGGTTTTTTTGGAAACATTTTCAGAATGCTTAAAGACAGTTTTGCAAGGGATTTGAATGAAACCTATAAACCCAAGAGTAAAACTGCACTAAGGCAGGATTCTGCTGGAGCCGACATCCCTGTGAGATGAACGGGGAATCAGGGCAGAGGCTGAAAGCCCCAGGAATGGCACAGAGAAATAAGTGGGTATACTGTGTGCTGTTGAGCTTTCAGCAGCTCATAGGAGATTCTCCAGTTCCAGGGGCCAAGTTGCTTCCATCCTGCATACGGGAAACACTACAGCCTACGAGAAAATTAAAAAGCAATTTGTGATGGGAACCAGGCAGCATCTCCTTGATCTGATCACTTCCCATAGGCCGCCTGATGATTGAAATCAATCCGGATCATTGAATCGATCCTGATGATTGAAATCCCCTACTTGGGTCACTATTTTCGAACTAAACTGAAGCAATCACAAGAGGGAAAAAAAAAAAAAATCTAACAAGATGCAGTGACAATTAATTAACAATTTATCTAACGGCACGCCAGGTTTGGGTTTTTTGCGTAATACTGGGGATATGTGGCAACCCCGACGCCTTACTCATTTCAGCGATGACTGACTAGAAGGTATCAGCAATACACTTTGGATTGCTTGTACGCTCATGTACGTATATACATCACTGAATAATATAGATGCTTACATATTTTCTGTGCCTCTCTCTAAAGCCTGATGGTGAGAAATAAAACATAAACAAGTCAGACAGCAAGCTCTGCTCTCCTCTTGATTAGCAAACGTACCTATCACTTCAACACAATAGGGGAACATAGCGTGTTGGCTGTTCGATGGCATTACAAAGTACATCAGCTGCCCTTGAACAGGAACAGTCACACTTAAAACAGCTGCATTAAAACTGTAAAACATCTTCCACAGACCAGAGGGGGAAAAAAAAAAAAAAACGGGAGAAAAAAGGAAGAAAGAAATCAGTATTATTCATATTTTGCTGTGGTACAGGCAGAGTAGGTAATGAAGAACTCTGCAGTATGGTATTCCTTTTCAGTCATGTGGAACTGTCTCTTGAATGTAAGGCAAATTAATAACCTGTAATTGGAGGGGCACACAGTCTGTAAGTAACTAGCCAGAGGTCTCCTGGCCTTAAGCACATGACCCAACGGGCTATATAGCAAAGTAAAATTGAGAGCTTTTCTGATGAGACAGTCAATCTACATGTTTTAAGTAGATTATGAAGCACAAGAGCTTTGAATAATCAATTCCTTTTCAACATAAGCTTGTGTGAGTTTCCAACTCTGAAAGTTGGGGGAATGAGGCCCTAGAGAGGTTTTAGTTTATCATTAGAGAAGTCCAAAGATAAGTTTCTTGTAAAAATTACAATGTGCTAAAAAGAGATATCCAGATTAGGTAATGTGGAAGCACATCTCTATTAAGGTGGGAAATCAAGGTACGGGAGTAAAATTCCCCCCTCAGAAGTAATGCTGCAGAGCTGCTGAGCTACAGCGATAGCCTGTGCCGAGGGCACCGGACACAGCTGCGGACCAAGGTCCCGGTGAACCGCAGAAGTGGTATACACGGCAGAATGAGGCCACGACCAGCTCCATACGGAAAGGTCATTCGTCCGTGCATACATTCTTGCCTAACATCAATACTGCACACTGTATCTCCTTTATCTCCCAGCTTGTCTGGGCCACGTTAATGGTCTAGACTATGCAGCTGAATTAGCAGCCGCGGACCTAAGAAGTGATCGAATCAATTCAAGGGTATGATCAGGCAGGGTACAGGGAGCCGAGGCTCAAGGTGCTGCTGTTCATGCTGGCACTGCTGCGTGGACACCTAGAGATTTTCTGTCTACAGGGCTGTCAGTCAGCACCTTCCAGCAGACCATTTAAAAAATAAATTTACTTCCCAGAGCTTCAAAGGTTTTCACAAGTAGAAAGTACTTCTCATGAAAAATACTTCCTTGTGAAACTCATAGGAATGTGGCCTATTAGCTCTTACCCAACCCACAGATCTGCAGGACTAATAGAAAACCGTATCAGGCAATCAGTTGACAAAATCATACCATCTGCTCCAGACAAAAGTAACAGAACGTTAAAGGCAGAGTCTGAAAGGCAAAAACACTACTTGAGAGATTACAGGACACTATTTTCCAATAGCTTCAATGCTGTCAGTGCTCCAAGCTATACAATTATCATATTTAAATTGATTCCTCCTCCATATATTTCCCTTTAAAACAGACTTTTGAAGGGTATTGACTCACTTCTCCAAACCTACAGAACCTCCATTCTAAGTACAGCATAAATGCATTTGCAGATATAAATTCTGTCAGCTTTGTGCTGGAAAAAGTTTAAGGTCCTTTTGACAATATTGTCCATTTATCCTTCTCTTGGAGATGATTTTTTTTTTTTTTTTTAGCTAGGTCTGAAGACTTTCACAGCTAATTCAGACGCCTGAGGCTTGATCCCAGTACTTGACAGTTAACATCTTGCCCTGAGTATAAGCCACTGCCAAAGGCTACTTTCCTGGATTGTCCTGTCAACCCTCAATTTAGCAAAGCATGAGATTTGCTTGTCTTATTGCCCTATAAACTCTGGATTATTCACAAGGGGTCATTTTATTTGGGTCTTTCAGAGAAGCCTTCTGCATCCTTGTCCCTATTAAGGTCTTCAGAGATTGCATCCATTTGTTTGTAACGTGTTTGAGAACTATTTAACAGTGCTTTACCATCAGGTAGGTTGATGAATATTTTAATTTAATCCTGCCAACACACCAGGCTTGTTAAAACGAGCTGTTTTTCCATTTCATAGCCAATTTTGCTTACTCTAAAGAATAAAAAAAAAATAACCCAAGAGCGACTTCAATGCAAGCGGGGGGGGGGAGCGGCGGCGGGAGGAAAAGGCCCGGTTTTGCTCCGGTGCTGCAAGGCGAAGGGGAGCGTTTCCTCGGCCGGCGGCGGCGGGGCTCGGGG